CCCCCCCCCCCCAAAGTGTGGACCCAGTACTATTTTGCCACCTTTTCACACAGTTCGGGTCACGTGTTCAGAGTTTTTTCTCTTTTTATCGTGATTCTAGGGAAAATGATAGAAAAAATCACATTTTAAGGGCGGATCTGATAAACTGCTGTTTCATAGGATTTAAATCAAGTCTAGGAACTAATGACATATCGACGGTGAAAGTCGGCAATCACATAACTCGGTTTGCGACGTCGCAGACTTCCTGTCATACTTTATTTTTTAAACGGCAAACTACTCAACGGTAATTCTTTAAAACTGCCGTGATTTTTCTTCTATGTGCGAGGAAAATTCTGCAAAAAATTCAAGGAATCATGTCCATTTGTTCTCCTTTAAAAAAAACAACATAGTTGCGGAGATTTTCAGACACCGCAAACGAGTTATGTGATTGCCGACTTGCACCGTCGATATGTTTTCTAGCAGTAAATTTTACGTTCTTTTCAATGAGCATGACAGTTTTTTTCTCAGATAATTGTGGCTGGAGGTATGAAGCAAAGTTTCTCCTAAAATCAGCAAAAATACGCCTTTTTTAAGCTAATTTTTGAAGAAAACGTTAATTTCACGACCAAAAAATTAAGTTAGAAAAAATAAAAGAGAATGATCTCTATAGGAAATTTTATGCTCTTTCCACTGGTTTTTTGGTTTTTTCGTGAGATGAACCGTTGAGGAGATATTTGCAAATATCTAATCATGAGTTTTCTTAATTTTGCAAAATTCAAAATGGCGGCACCCTGAGGACCAGCCAATTTTCCTGAAGTTAATATGGCCATTTTCGGGCTTCTGTAGTACCTAGGAATCGAACAAAATTGGTTTGGTTCGAAGGACGGAACCCATGTTGACCGGTGTTATCGGTTTTCAAATAGTTAAAAACTCTAGACAAAATTGTTTAAAAAATAATTTGGTTTATGCCTCTCGTTATTGATGGGATATTCAGAAAAAATTAGTTACCAGACATTTAAAAGATAATTTAGTTCAATTTTGAAAGTTCATGTTGCTTAACTGTTTACAAGCCCGGATTTTTTCTTCTTCTTGCTTTGTTTTTTGTTCCTTTCCTTGGTAACAGCTAATTAGCAATATTCGCGTTTACAAGAATATCTTACATTTCTACGAATAGCTAGGTGCTACAAAATGCAATTGATTGTTTAGTGTTAGTGCTCTTGTTTATGAATGATAAGTTTATTACAAAGGATAAGTTGCGAGGCATCCTGAAAGGATCCTCTTCTAGTATTCTCCTTTGAACTATTTTCCTAATGCCCATTGAAAAGACTGAACCCAGAGAAAAACCAAAAACGACCTAAATTCTTATAAAAAACCTGTGCTTGCTTCGTTTTTTTCCAAAAATGTACACCTTTGATGTGTGTATCATGTCGCTTTATAAACCTTTTCTCCTTTTGTTACTTTGTCTGTAAATAAAACCTCATTTTTATTTCTGCCAAAAAAAAGACAATCCTATCTCGTTTAGTGTAATCTTCCTAAAGCTACATAATCCTTTATTCATTATGATTTGGTATCTTGCCCATTAAATTTATGCTGAAGGGGGGCGGGGGGTTCTTAATAGTTTGAAAGGTTGATTTAACCTTCATTTATGAATTCTGCGACCCAATAAACCTGTAAATGGATACATATCTTGCTATTCTAAGGTCAAGGCTGACTGTATGATCCTGTAAGGGATAATTTCGGCGGCCATCTTGGATTTTGGACATCCCAGGGGGCCGGGGTGAATTTTGAATTCAAGATTTGGATTCTACGACTGGAAATCTATGGGGTTTGATACGTCACATGATATGAGAAGCTATTATAGAATTTTTGGTTCCAAAATTTCAGCAATTTTGGCTGCCATCTTGTAATTTGAGGCCTTAAATGAATCGCAAAGGATTTTTTAAAATCATTTTTCGATTTTACGGCCCAAAAAATGGTATGAAAGATACCGCACATGCCATATAGGAGCACACGTGGCCGTTCGACTTTCAGGAGGGGAAATTTGGCCGCCATCTTGGATTTAAGGGTCTTTAAGAAGTCGGAGTAAATTTTTAAGCATATATTTGAAATTTTCGACCTAAAATACATAGGAATCGACATACATGTCGACCATGGGAGTCACTTTCACCCACTTCACCCCCGTGGCGGCCATTTTGGGCGCCATCTTGAATTTGAGGGTGTTCCGGGAAAAATTGAGCCTGGCAGCATCGAAATTCTGTTTCAGGACATCAAGACGAAGAGATCAAGCCATCTCGCCAACTTGTATCATTAACGGTCCCACGGGACCCCAAAAATGAACATGTGATCCCGGACTATAGTGGGAAGTGGGGGCTACCCACTATAATATATCCGACTGTAAGTCGGCAATCACATAACTCGGTTTGCAACTTCGCAGACTTCCTGTTATATTTTATTTTTTAAATGGAACACTACTTAACGGCAATTCTTTAAAAATGCCGTGATTTGTCTTCTCTGTGCGAAGAATATTCTGCGATTACTTTGAGGGATGATGTCAATTTGTTCTTCTTTAAAAAATAACATGGAGGCAGAGGTTTTCAGACACCGAAAACGAGATATGTGATTGCCGACTTACACTGTCGATATATCTTGCCCTACTCTATAACATAAAACCAGCAGAATTGAGAGTTGAAAATGAACGACTTCTGTATTTATTACGAGTAACATTGGTGTCCAGACCAGAGTAAAATATGCTGAAAATATTAATGTATTTATTCACCACATTCATGGAAAGAAAATGTAAAATTTTTAAAAGAAATGCTTCCAGGAGAGTTGTCGCTTCTGTTCTCATTAAAAAAGCAAAATTACATGACTCATTCCGTATCATCGTTTCGCTCTACTTAGAATGCCAGGAGCCCCTCCTGTTTTTTAATTTCGTCTCTTTTCCCGCCTTCCGCGTGTTGATTTGTTTGCTTCCAAGGCCTTGGCTGCAAGCCTCTAATTGATTTACAAACAATGACTTTTCCGAACCATTGTCCGGAAGATTCAATCTTTCAAGAATTGGAAGAGTGCAACAGACTAATGTGAACGATGGAGCCGTATTGTTAAAATTTAAAGAGTAAAAAACTACAAAATAGCTTATTGAAATTTTTAGAGCACAGATTTTTCTCATCCAGAACTTTCTGCATCCCAGTGCTCTTTTATTGCTGAAGCTAAGGGGCATATAAAAAGTTGCATGCGGCGAAAACTGGGCTGAGCGTCTTTGTATTATGCCTCCTGATTTTATTTTCATTCTTCAGTTTTGTTGGCTAAGTTCACCTAATATTGAGGTAAGTAATGAGGATTTTGAACGTTTTACTATTTTCATAATCGTTTTTTAAAATGTTGGTTGCGTCGAATGATAAATTGATGACTTTAAGCAAAAAAGGAACCAGGAGCTGAAGTGTCCATTTTTAGTCAATGCAGGATTGCATATCTGGAGAGCATTTACTAAACAGACACAATTTAAACCCTCCAAACCCTTTTTTAGAGCTTTAATTACACCAAAAAAATTAAATTTTCGTATAATTGGCAAAATGCATTTGCACAAAAGAGTCACAAATTGCATATCTTTCAAACGCGACATAGAAAGTTTTTCCAGTTAGTTCAGCGCTAGCGTGGCTAGGCTGAACGCTCGTTTCGACCTACAGCAACTATTTGAACTCCCAGGAGTTCAAATTGCATATCCACCGAAATGAAGGAAATTTAAGAAATTTCAATTGCTTTCTTCTTCTAATTCTCTTCTTCCACGAACCACTAGGGCAAAGCCCTGTTTGTCAGGCCATCCAGTATCGAGCACAATAAACTATATAAATTTTAAAAATCTAAAAATCACTAAAAATAAAGGACTCGTCAAATTAATAAATGGATTTTTTTCCGGTAATTATATTCATGGCTTGACAAGTCCAGTTGAGAGCGCCAGCGTCGTTCCCCATCATTTGATTACCCACTTTTGCCCTTTCCTTTTATAATTCTATACAGCTCCTCTAAAGTTTCCATCCGAGTTTCCAGCCCTGTAGCAGTATCAAAGGATGGATTTCTTAGAGGTACTGTCCTTTTTGCCGGCCCTGCTGTACGCACCCCTTCTGGTGGGATCCCTGTGCTTGGTGTTCAACTACCTGGTCTACTCGCGGCGCGTGGCCCAGTGGCGCAAGTCGAACATCCCTTTCCTGAGCCCGAGCTTCCTCATCGGGCACAAGTACTTCTGGGGCGTCGGGAGCAACTCCGCAACTGTCGTCCCCCTCGATCGCATCTACCAGGAGAATAAAGACAAAGACCTCGTCGCTTTCTTCATCGCGACCATGCCAGTCGTTCTGCTTCGGAAACCGGCACTTATCAAGCAGGTTAGTTTGAAATGGAGTACCTGGATAGGGAGAGCATGGGCGAATCTGTAATTTCGACCAAAAAAGTAGCCAACCCATGCACTCAAGTCATCCAGAATTACTTCTTACTACAATTAGTACTACCCGTCGTAGCAAAAATTAGTGATGCGCGTATTAGACTTTGGTCCCTATGTGCATAAACCAAGTTTTTGAAATCTAAATTTAAAAATTACACACACGGAGAAAAAAACCTTGTGCGTGGGACCCGAGGTCATATGGATCTCTGGAGTTTTCAGATTGAGCATCGGAACACTTTAGATCTAGCTGTTAAGGTTCGGATCACACATCTGAAACTTCAGTTCTTACATCTGAAGTACTTCAGATGTTTTTGGGAATGTGAGAACCGAAGTTTTTCGGATGTGAAAACCGAAGTACTTCAGATGTAAGAACTGAAGTTTCAGATGTGTGATCCAAATCTCAGCAGCTGGACCATAATTGTTCGGATGCTCAATCCGAAAACTTCATAGATCCATATAACCTAAACTTCGGGTCCCACGCACGAAGTTTTTTTCTCCGTGTACTAGGTATTCCAATAGCAGCTACTCATCTTAATGACAGTTTTCTCCGAGAAATTGAGATACATTTTTTTAAATTATTATTATTACTTTTCAGATATTCGCGAGAAACTTCGACGAAGCGTTCAAAACGGGGTTTGCGGTATCCCACAACGATGTAATCACACCCCACATGTTGAGCCAATCTCCTGATAAAAAAGTCTGGAAAACCCACCGAAATGCACTTTCGCCCATGTTCGTGACAACAAGGTTTAGCGGTAAGAGATTCGCCAAGATCAGGAATCAGATCTCTCTTATGTGGACCCATGTTGAGGAAGCACGCCTTCAAGGAAAGCCCATCAACATCAAAGAGGTTTGCATTATCCCACCTCAATAGTTTCCGTAATTCGAACTTGAGTGGCTCATCTCGAAAAATGTATGTATCAGCTTTTTGTGGAGTATAGTAATACTTTTTCCTGGAAGAACTATTCTCAAGACCCTTCTCTCGTTACATTTCAGGTGGCAGGGATGTTTTTCCAGGACATCATTTCCAACAGCTTCCTTGCTTTGGATGACAACTCGTATGTAAAGGAAGGAGAGTTTCGTAAATTCCTTAAAAGTTTGGTTGAGCCAGGGTGGGGCAAACTGCTTGGCGTATTTGCCCAGATGCACCTCCAAAGAATACCAACTTTGGAGTCGTTGAAGTTCATCACTCAGAAGCACATCGATTCTATGAAGAGTTTGCTCCAGAAGCAGATAAAGCAGAGAAGTCAGACCGGTGACCAAAGAAATGACCTTATCGACCTCCTGATCAGACTCAAAGAACAAGACCAAGATGGAAAACTGGATCAAGGTATGGGAACGTCCAGTTATTGTCGAACTCTTTTAGCTCCAGGATGACGTAAAATGAAAAATTGACGAGGTCTTGATGTTCCAAGGTTACAGACATTTCAAGCTTCTGATATTCGCAATAAAATATGTTTGAGGCTCTGAGGACATAATTATATGATATGATAAATGTTCAAATATTAATAGGAATACTTTAAAAAGAGTCTACTTCACCTTACGAGTACGTATACATCCTCGTGCGGTAAGTAAAATCGAACAAACACTATTAGCAGAGTACATCAGAAGGATGCGAAATCTGCCTTTAAACGCATACTCAATCAGCGTAGTCCATCACGACTTTTAAATTAATTTATTGCGTCCAAAATCAGGCATCTCTAGTCGTTGCACAGAGGTACTTGCGAGAACATCTTCGCTGTCTACACATTTGAAATCGTAAAAATTCAAAAGTTCACAAGATCTGTGAGATTTTTTAACTGATTTAGGGTTGATTTTCATATACATTTTTTTCTACGCAAACCGCACTTTGCTTCTAATTATGTAAAATGTCCGCTGTCGGGATAAAGTCACATATTCACAAAATTCATCTCGCGAGTGGTTTAGTTGCGCTGCTTACAGAATCGTGTTTTAATGCTTCATTCTTGCAGATTAATTGAAAATAAAAAGATCTGCCCAAATAGCAACTCTCTACGTTCAATAATAACCGAGATATCGAGCTTTGAAAATTCCGGTTTATGACATCATTCACCGCGGTAGTAACACCTTTGGTTTCTTCCACCTTGCTTTCGTCAGTCAGGGAGGCCCACATTTGCACTGCTTATTCAACGTGAGACTCGGATGGAAGTAAGGAGGAAGGAACCAAGAGTGTTACTACCGCGGTGGATGACGTCATAAACTGAATTATTCAAACCGCCATATCTCGGTTAATGTTGAACATAGAGAGTTGCTGTTCGGATGGATCTTATTCTTTGTAGCTAATCTACAAGAATTAAGCATCAAAATAGGATTCTGTGATTAGTATACATTGTGCTTTAAGAAGTAGATTCATGACATTCCTGTTGTGTTCAATGTGATTTTCGCGCGAGTTCACTCGGCAGAGTCTAAGTAAAAATGGATGTTTTGCTAATTTGAAACAAACCTTTTAAACGTGTAAAAATCTGTGATTTTGTCCTAACATAAGAGATAGCAACGGAATTTGTTAACATTTTAGGAGACTGAGAAAATGGGCGCCAAACTTTTTCTTAGTATCCTCTTCAAACATAGGTATGAATTCCAAGAGCGGCTATTTAAAATTTACAGAAATGGACATAACGAATGAAATGATCAGCCTCGGTTTGTCCTTGCTGCTGGGAGGTAAAAGCGTTGCAACGGTCGACAATATGGTGAGTTTTACCATCCACCTTTTGTCCCTCTACCCGGAATATCAGGAGCGAATAAGACAAGAGGTGAAGGAGGCCATGAAAAGACATAACGCTGCAGAATTCACCTACGAGGTTGTTCGCGATCTTCATTTCCTCAACCAGTGTTTACACGGTGAGTCCAAAACTTAATGACCGTTTCCTCGAGCCAAGCCTCCGCTGCGACAAAAAATAGCAGTTAAGTTCGGTGCCTACGATTGCCTGGTATCTCCATTGCATTTTGCGCTAAATTTAATGTTTAGTTCACTGAAGTCAACACAAAATTTGGATTAATTAGTGTTTCACCTCCTGTATTAATCTTCAGCAACACAAGAAAGTCAGTGTACGCATGTTTGTAGTTTCCACTCTAAAAAATCAATCAAATATTGAATTTTTAAAAAAAACAAACGTTCACTCAAAACTGTAAAGTTAGGAAAAGAAACAAGTTAAGTAAAAAGTTAAGAAAACACACTTTTGCCTCAGTTTCCTTCAAAAGTGCAGGGGTATTTACATCATAATTTCATTCAAACTCATAATTCGTCTATTTTTTCCCGTTTCTTCTAACTTCAAATTTGTACAATTTCAGAAACTTCACGCCTGTACCCAAATACCTCAGTAATAACGCGAGTGTGTACGGAGGACTTTACGCCAGTCGGCACCAACTACACTTTCAAGAAAGGCGAGCTACTTATCGTCGACCCCTACTCCATCCATCGGGATCCCGAATACTACGAGAACCCGAATGTGTTCGACCCGGACCGCTTCAACCCGAAAAACAGAGATAGTAAATCAGTTGATGCTTTTCTAAGCTTCGGTAAAGGACCCCGAAAATGTCCAGGTAAGATCATCGAGGTCCATTCGGCTGACAATACTTAATGCGGCATTACAGCTTAATAAATCTTAGCAACATCCAATGGTGCATACCCGGTTTTTACTTTCTGCATCTCCTTGCGGGTAGAGGAAGTATTGTCATCGTCCAAGAAAAAAAAGAAAAAAAGTTGAAATCTCATCATTTCTGGGCGTTCTAAAATCCATGGAGCCAAATAAACATATTTAGAAAAAGTGTGTCCGTTCCGTCCGACGTCCCCCAAATCTGTGTGCAGCCAAAGCTCAAAATCGATGGGTCCAATTTCATTCAAAATGTGCATGGAAGACCATATCTATGGTCTCCTTATGAATGTCAAGCGGTTTTTCTCTTTTTTTTAAACTTTTTCATTTGTTAGGAAACCTGAACTATTTCATTTCGATGGTTTTTCAAGGCTCTCGGTGAAGGTATGTCCCGTTTTCTTCTTTCCATTTAATCAAGTATATTATTGGATAATTGATTTGTGAATTATTTTCTTAATATCAACAGGCAGCAACGTCGCTCTCCTGATAGCGTCGACTTTGATTGGTTCCCTGTTGCACAAGTACGAAGTGAGACCACACTCCCACACGAAGCAAATGGATGCTTACGATTTCCATCCTCGGAGTTTCGCCATCGTCCATGAAGACGATGTCCTCATTAACGTCATACCTCGAGAGATTCTCGCTTACTGATCACTGATCAGGAATAGGTGCGGCGCATCGCCACTGAATTTTGTGACTTATTAAACCGATGGAAATTATTGCAAGTTGTTGTCAATGCATATCTGCCATTCAAGTGTATCTAAAATAATCGATTCATTATGCAAGACCGCTGAATTTTGATTGTTTCACGTGCACTTATATGCATGGAACTCATTATTACATACTTGTGAGATTGCCTTAGCCTAAAAATGCAGCTAAAATTATAATTAATCAAAAATATTCATTATTATACATAAATAAACAAATATTTTTACTTAATACTGGTTTTCACATTTTTTGCGCATTGAACGACGAAGATATTACCTATGAAAGCAGTAGTGGGGTTAGATAGAGTACTTCAATAAGGAGAATGTGGCCACTAAGGCTCATGGAGACCTTTAGGACCCCCAAAATAGCGGATCAAAGTGAAAAAAAAAGATGGTGTGAGCGAGGGAGAAGGAGTTGTGCCACTATCGCCAAGTTTGCAGCAAAATTTAATGCTAAACCTTCATTGGTCATCTAATTAAACTACTTTTGAGCATTGGCGGATCCCGTAAATTGTCAACATCGTTTTTTCTCCATTTGAACCTATGGAATTGTATCGATTCCCGGAGGAGCCAAGTGCTCCGCCAAGAATCGATTATTTAACATAGGTTTAAACGGAGGAAATCCGGTGTTGCCAAATCTCTGGTTCCGCCTATGCTTTTGAGAGAGTTTCCGCCTCCGCCCTTAATGAAAATACATAAAATAACGTAACTTATGCCGCACTCTTGTTTAGCTCTGTTTAGAAGTTCACGCATACTTCCATATTCTTAATCTTCCTCCCTCCGCCAATACTTTCGCTTGCAATTATTCTAACCAGGCTCTGACCACAAGGCCATTTTATGTTTGAACATTTTCAATGTTACTTTAAACCATTGTCTGGAAAATTCAATCTCTCAAACTTTGAACGAGCACAATAGAAAGATACGAACAATGGATCTGGATTTATGAAATAAAAATAAAAAAACAATGGACAGACAGTTGCTAAAAAATTTGTGAAGCGCATATATTTCAACGAGTGCTCGAGTTCCGCTGAGGATGAGGAGCTTACATAGAGTTCCACACGGAAACTGGGCCGGATTTTCACAAGAGAAGCCACCTAATTTTTAGTTTATTCTTCAAATTTGGCTGAATTAACCTTATACCAAGGTAAGTAATGAGAATGTTGAACTTTCTCCTACTTTTAGAGTTAACTTCTAAAATGTTGATGGTTTCGTCATCCGACGACCACACGGAGAGAACGTTTCATATGCTCCGTCAAGCACTTGAAAGAGGGGACTGATATGTCGTCAAGTGCATGTTTTTTTTGGATATTGTCCATAGTTACCCGCTGATGAAATGAACTGATTTTAGAGCTAGAATCACGAGTCACCTTCAATTCGATTGATATGCAATATTAGCCACTCGGAGGTTGATATAGTTGTATCTTTCATTAGAAGGCTCCTGCAGCGTTCACCTGGTTCGGATATCACCAGGATATCTGTTCGGAGGTGAACTCTCCTTTGCTCTGGTTCCGCATTATGTTACCATCGCGAGCTCAACCTCAAGGAATATTTTCCCAAGCGTGAGAACCGATTCTAAACACACAGAATTTTCATTATCGTGTTATTCGAGATTCAATTTATAGGATTAAAGGAGTAGTTTAGTTATGAAATAACCCATCTCCAAAAATTTCAAATTTTTTTTCTGCTATGCCTTTGTGCAAAAAACGCCTGTCAAATGCAACTTTAATGTTTTTTTTTTTTTTTTTTTTTTTTTTTTTTTTTTTTTTTTTTTTAAAGGAAAGAATTAACCTCTTGCAACAACAAGCACTCTCCGCATTCAACAAGTTTAGCGGGCCGCGTTCTATCCATATTTATTCCGTTTCGTCCTTCTCCATACCGATTTACCACGTCCTAAACCTAAATATTCCATGCATTTCTACCTGATGATGTACCGGGATGTGTTTGGATTTACTTATGTCAGTTCACCCTGATTTAATGAGATGAATGCATCCCAGTTCATGAAACTTTATCGCGATTTTTCTCTTTTCATCAGGATTTTTCGACCTATTTTATTCCGGGGAAGCTTGATAAATCCCGTTTTACCCCAATCAAGCATGAGGCGTTGCCTCCTAGTTAAAAATAACGTCTGTGGGTTTTACATTGGTAGCAGAATTTATGCAGAATTTGCAGAACAATTTATTTGAAACCCTTCCGCTGTTATCTTCACCATTTTTGAGAGGAGTTGTCACTTCTGCTGTTATGGAAAAAATACATTACGTAACTTTTGCCGATCTCTCGTTAGGCCTTGTTTAGAGATTCCAGGCGTACTTCCATTCACTAACCTCCCCCCCCCCTCTTCGCATTTTCGCTTGCTATTAATTAGCTAGGCTCTGACCTCGAGGCTTCCATATATTTTAAAAGTTTCAATGTTGCTTCCAAACCATTGTCCGGAAGACGAAATCTTTCAAACATTTGGAGCACAATAGGAAGATGCGAAAAATGGATCTTAAATGTTACAATGAAAATTGAAAAACAATGAACAGTGAGTAATTATATTTTGTGAAATGCATACATTTTGACACGTACGTCTTTTCCGCCTAAAGTAAGAGGCTTATATGAAGTTCCACACGGAAGCTGGGTTAAACATTTGCCAGATTCAGCCTCAACCTAATATTTAGTTCATTCTTAAATTTTGTTAGGAAAGTAAAACTGATATACTGAGGTACGTAATACAAGTTTTGAACTTCTCCCTAATTGTGAATTTTTACCATGATGTTGATGGTTATGTTGTGTGATAAATATATGTACAAAACCTTTCAGACGTTGTGTCAAGCACTTGAAAGAGACACAGGGGTTTGCCGCGAGTATGTAAAAGGGGGCTGGGGCTAGCATGATGTCAAGAGAATGTTTTTTGGGGGAATTTTCGATAGTCTTAACGAATGTATCACATGTTTTTTTTTTCAATTTTTAAGTAAAAAAAAAATAGTTACACTACCATATTTTTCTCTTTTTACTAATATTTCAACGCTGAATATACAAATCAGCAATGAATACATATACATATTATTAAATTAATTGTATTTGTTTCTTCAATTAAATTCTATTAAAACAAAATAAGTTTATAGGAAGCTAATATTTTGTAAAGTTGATAATTTAATGGAAACTTCAGACCTGCATTATGGATACTTGATAAGGAGTGTGGAGAGGGTCTAAAATTCCGAATTTCAGCATCACTTGCTATATGAGCGTTTTAATGGTATTGCAGTCATCGGAAAATCGCAGGATGGATTTCTTAGAGACCCTGTTTTTGCTACCGCCCCTGCTGTACGCACCATTTCTGGTAGGATCCCTGTGCTTGGTGATCAACTACCTGGTCTACTCGCGGCGCGTGGCCCAGTGGCGCAAGTCGAACATCCCTTTCCTGGCCCCGAGCTTCCTCATCGGGCACAAGTACTTCTGGGGCGTCGGGAGCAACTCCGCAACTGTCGTCCCCCTCGATCGCATCTACCGGGAGAATAAAGACAAAGACCTCGTCGCTTTCTTCATCGCCACCATGCCTGTCGTTCTACTTCGGAAACCGGCACTTATCAAGCAGGTTAGTTAACGTTGGATAGGGAGAGTATAGGGACATGTTTGTCATTCTGGAGGCTCATACTCTCCTTCTCCAGGTACTCCTATCAAACACGTTTAGACAGAGGAAGTCTAGTTGTGAATCAGTAGATTTTAGAATGAGACATAATAAACCATCCACAAGAAAAAGGACCTTGATTACAAAGGGTAGAGAATGAAAGCTTCAAGCTTTGGCTTCAAAGAGTACGCACTTAGACAAGAAAAGAGCATGCAAATATTTAGTGAAGCTGGTTGGAAGATGATGGTTCGAAGCTACTAGGATACTAAGCACCAAACCTTGTTGTCATTTCTTTTCAGAATCTCATGCAAAACATGAAGAAACATAGATTCATTTTTTTTTCACAGGTATTTGCGAAAAACTTCGACGAAGCGTTCAAAACTGGGTTTGCGGCGCCCCACAACAATAAGGTTGTAGAGCTCATGTTGGTTCAATCTCCTTTCAAAAGCGTCTGGAAAGCCCAGCGGAGCGCGCTTTCGCCCATGTTTGCGACGGCGAGATTTGGCGGTGAGGAATTCGCTAGGATCAGGAACCAGATCGCCCACATGTCGACCCACGTTGAGAAAGCGCGCCTCCATGGGAAGCCTATCGACATCAAAAAGGTTTGCTTTATCGAATTTAGACATTTTTCCCCTTTTCGAACACAACTAGCTCATCTCGCAAAAACAGATGTATCAGCTTTGCACAACATAGTAAAAAGTAAGTGGAATGCTTCCTCGCCGCTACGTGGTCCAACATCAGAGGGAGCTCGGCGCTCTCTAAAGCCCGTCTCGAGATGGCTTTACTAGAGCGGGCTGCTATCTCCCGGCTGTGGCAATCTTATATCAATAGCCGCAAAAATCATGAAAACCGGCTCAGTAGATTTTTAGAACGAATTTTGATAAAAAATGAATGTTATTATTCACATCTTTCAATGGTTGGATCCACAACTTTAACACGGAATGTAAAAAAAAAAATAATATTTGAATAGAGCAGACTTATCAAGGGCAGGCTGGCATGGAACGTAAGAAAGAAATGAAGGATTGGAAATTTCAGTAAAATAATTCATGAGATTTCACAAGGCTGTGAAATATTTCATATTTTTCAGGGGCTGGAGTATGCAACCTGCACTCTAACACACAAAAATAAGAGTCACACTTTTTTCATTTTGCGAAACATGAAATGGAACCGGAATTTTTCAATATCTCCCATAAATTTCTAAAATTTCATGAAATATTTCACGAGAAATTTCAAGATTTTATTTTTCATGAAATTTTGCCACCCTATCAACTGTCGATACAGCCACAAAAAAAATTAATATCAGCTCAGTAGAACGGTAGAAAGAACAATGGCCAAAAATGAAAAATTAGGAGGTCAGAGAGCTTCTATGTATACCTAGTTATGATTTTCCCCGAGAAAACTGTACATAAGACCCTGCTTTCGTTATTTGTCAGGTGGCAATGAACTTTTTCCTGGACAGCATCTCCAACAGCTTTCTCGATTTGAACGACAACTCATACGAAAAGGAGGGAGAATTTCGTAAATTCGTTAAGAATTTTATCGAGCCAGGGTGGGACAAACTGCTGAGCGTATTTGCTCAGATGCACCTCCAAGGGATGCCAACTTTGGATTCGTTGCAGTTCATCACTCAAAAGCACATTGAATATATGAAGACTTTGCTTCAGAGGCAGATGAAGCAGAGAAGTCAGACCGGTGACCAAAGAAATGACCTTATCGACCTCCTCATCAGACTCAAAGAACAAGACCAAAATGGAAAACTGGATTCAGGTATGGGGACGTTCAAATTGTCACATTTGCATAGCTCGAACATTAAGGACAAACAAAGAGAATCATCAAAAGAGAAGAAGCGTTAAAATCGATAATCATCTGCGTCTTGATGCTCCGGGGAGTAAATCGTGATAAATTGATACGATCATGGTTGCAAGATATTTCGGGCAATTTAGGTCTCCCTGTGCAATAACAAATCATTGCGGCATTGAGGTCATTTACTGTATGATTGATGTTTTAAAAAAATTCGAAGTATTGAAAATGGGTTTCCTTCACAAAAAAATTTTATTCTAACTTACGTATGTTTTAACCTAACTTGAGGTCAAATCGAACATTAACTACACTGAGCTTCAGGTATTCTAAAATCCATTTTTGAACGCATAATTTACGGAGTCCATCACGCATGTTCAAATGCACTGCCTTTGGGACAGTTTCCTCTCGTCGTTGGCTATTACGATTACCCATGATACTTGTAAGGTAATTTCCTTACTTGAACATGTAAAATCGTGAATGTTCGAGAGTTTCACAAAATGTATGTATTTTTCCCCCATTTAGGTATAGTTTTCTTAAATCTCCTCTGATCAAACCCTTTTTTGCTAGTATCTAAAAAAATGTTAGAGGACGCAACACATTAAGAAACTTACAAAAAGAATTACGTGCATTGTGCTGTCAGGCGTGGATTTCGGACATACCTGATTCGTCCAATGTGGTTTGCATGAGATTTTGCAGGCAAAAATCCCACCAATTTGGCCGCTTTTCTGGTGTGTAAAACCCCGTTCAAATGTTAGTAAATTTGAAATTTTGAGCTGATGTAAGGACTAATTATGGAGCTTGTAAAAATTTGAGGAGAGGCTGAGAAAGGGACACCCAAACATTTTTCTCCGTGTTTTCTTTAAGATAATATTTTAAGAAAACAAGGCCTTAAAATTTTTAGAGATGGACATGACAAATAAGACGATGGGCCTTGGATTATCCTTCCTCCTGGGTGGTTTAAAAGGCTTGGGGACAGTTGACATTTTGATAAGTTTTACCGTGCACTTGTTATCCCTCCACCCGGAACATCAGGAGCGAATAAGACAAGAAGTGGAGGAGGTCATGAAAGAACACAATACCACGGAAATCACTTACGAGGTTGCTCGGGATCTTCACTTCCTCCAGCAATGTCTACGCGGTGAGTGCTACATTGCTACAACTTTCAGACAATCTCTTTGTAACAGGCCTGCGCACGTTTCTCGGCTTTTTCACTGGGGCTCGTTTTCAATCCCCCCCCCTTTGAATTCTCCGAAGAAAATTCTACCATAATTTTGCCGCGAAAATAAAATTTTCTGCTGTAAGATTAGGAGGCGGGAGCATCCAAAATAAAGAAGGATGTGGAAATGTTAGTCTTTCCTCTTTGACCTCATGAAACAAATAATGCTAAGACGTTGTGTGATTTTATGCTGTTCTGCGCCGTAAAGAAGAAAAATCAATTTCTCAAAACTATGGGGCGGGGTTAAATTGGCACCTTTTTGGGAAAACCTGTGAAAACGTCTACTCCTTTTTATAATTCCTAAATAAGAACGATGCCATAATATTGTGTACTATTTTGTGCCACGTCGCAAAAATTATTTTTACCCTGGGGATTTGATACTTAAATTATGTTTAAAGAAAAATCTAGTCCGTCAAAACTCCACGGGAATTTTCTTGCATATTTTATCAAACTCACGATCAGTATGTTCCCTTTCTCTCTATTTTTACTAATTTCATATTCGTGCAATTCTAGAAACGGCACGTTTGTACCCGAATACATCAGCACTAACGAGAGTGTGTACGGAGGACTTTACCCCGGCCGGCACCAGCTACAATTTTAAGAAAGGCGAGCTTATTATTGTCGACCCTTACTCCATCCACCGAGATCCGGAATACTTTAAGAATCCGGATGTGTTCGACCCGGACCGGTTCAGCTCGGAAAACAGAGATAGTAAATCGGTTGATGCTTTTCTTGGCTTCGGAAAAGGACCCCGAAAATGTCCAGGTAAGATCAAAGAGGGCCATCGGACCAGCCGTATTTGATGCAAAAACGATCATGTTAGTACCATTTTGAGATCACGTTGTAATTAACACGTTCCATTTTGAACCATGATGGTGTTGGAGCCATGTCGGTATCATTTTGGTGAGTGAAACATGGTATCATGTTGCTGCAACATGGTATCAAAAATTCAACATTCTACCAACTTGTGTCAAAATTTGTTCCATATTGATAACAGATTGGTCATAGAAAATTTGACCAATTTATCACCATATTGGTACCATGAAGGGTACCATTTTGATATAATGTTGATACCACACTGGCGTCACCATGGACAGGGGCAATTCTTGGAAGTTGGCAATACTATGTTTTTCCTCAATTAATGTATAAAAAAACATCGATATTAGGGGGGAGGGGGCAGCTGCCTTGCCAGAAATCAATTGTTTTACATATCGACGGTGAAACTACCAAACCACGTATCTCGTTTGCGGTGTTTAAAAATCTACGCTCACATTTTATTTTTTGGAAGTAGACCAAATCAATATCATTTTTTGAAATTTTCACAGAATTTTCTCCGCGCGAAGAGGAAAAATCACAGAAATTTTCAAGATTGGACGTTAAATAGTTTTTCATTTAAAAAATAAAGTATGACAGGAAGTCTGCGACGTCGCAAACCGAGATATGTGGTTTGGTAGTTTCACCGTCGATATACATTTAAATGGATGAAACGCAGAATTGTTAATTTCCAAATATCGTAACTATAAACATGGTGCCATTTTTCACTTCCCAAAATGGTCGTTTTTAGCAGGTACGGCTTAGAATTTCAGCAAAGTACGAATGGAAGTCATTTTCAAGTCTCTCGATAAAGATATGTCCAATTCCCTTATTTCCACCCAATTACATCCTAATAAAATGGATTTGTTATAATTATTGTTCAATATGAAACAGGTAGCAATGTTGGTCTCCTACTAGCGTCGACTCTGATTGGTTCTCTAGTGCACAAGTACGAGGTGAGACCACGGTCTCACACGAAGCAAATGGATGCTCACGATTTCCATCCCCGGAGTTTCGGCATCGTTCATAAAGATGACGTCCTTGTTGACGTCGTGCCCCGAGAGATTCTCGCTTATTGACTACTGATCGATCACGAATAATAACAACCTATCGCTGATGTATTTTAGGACGCCTTGAAACAATGGTGATTCTCGCAGGTTGGCAACAATGCACTTCTTCCATTTAAATCCACCATAAAAAATCAATGGAATAGGTGATCTGCCGAGCCAATCATCGATTGTTTTATATTGGGTGTTTAATTATAGGTAGAATTCAGCACTTTGACTTGCGAGACTGCCACTTCAAACAGTTTTAGTTAAACTTATTATTTACAGGAAATATATTATTTTAAATTATAAAATATTTTTTAATTAATCTTAGCTCTTCTTTCTTTCTTTCTGAATCCTCACTCTTTACGCAATATTAGCGCAATTAAAGCAGATGGCGTTTCAATAAGAGCTACTCGGGGTTTGAAAAAGTTGCATCGTACATTTGAGTCCATCACTTTTACGCATTGGGCCCGAGTGAACTGATTTTAGAGCGAGAAACACGATTCACCGGGACGAGTTTGCTACGGCGCCTTGATACAACTATACAACCTCGACGGATGTCCGTATTGCGTTCAAAAGATTGAAGGTGTTTTGACTTCCTACGCACTAACTGAAGTTAATTCGATCGACGGACGCGTTGGTGTGCGGTGACAGGGACTTGATGCAACTATTTAATCTTGTTGGGTGTCTGTATCGCACCGACTGAAGTGCGAAACCACGTATCTCCATTGCGGTGTTTCAAAATTTCCGTTCTTATTTCATCTCTTCCATGAGAAACAATCCAAATTTGCGACTTTAAATTTTGAAACAAATCTTCTGCTATCGAATACGAAAAATCATGGAGAATTTAAGTTTTATGTTGACCAGCTTCTCGAAAGAGAGATAAAATTTCTAAGGAAGTCTGCTACGTCGCAAATAGAGAAACGTCGTCTCTCATTTTGCCCAAAAATATGTATGTATAAAATTGAAGGCATCATGACTTTCCTCTCTCAACTTATGACGATAAAAAATGGGACGCGTTTGCTACGGCGCCTTGATACAACTATACAACCTCGACGGATGTCCGTATTGCGTTCAAAAGATTGAAGGTGTTTTGACTTCCTACGCACTAACTGAAGTTAATTCGATCGACGGACGCGTTGGTGTGCGGTGACAGGGACTTGATGCATCTATTTAATCTTGTTGGGTGTCTGTATCGCACTGAAGAATTGAAGGCGTTTTGAGTTCCTACGCACTAACTGAAGTTTACTCGATCGACAGACGCGTTGGTCGGCGGAGACAGGGACTTGATGCAACCATTTAAACTTGATGGATGTTCGTATCGCACCGGCTGAAGTGCGAAACCAAGTATCCCCATTGCGGTGTTTCAAAATTTCCGTTTTTATTATTCATCTGTTACAGGAAAAAACCATCCAAATTTACGACATTAAAGAGCTTGATGCAAAAACGGCTTTTTTTGCCCCCCTTCTAGAATTCTTTCGAACTTCGTTGATCAATTACTCATACTTGAGCCCTTCTTTTCCCAAATTTTCAGACCCCAAAAAATTTTGGGGGGGTGGGCGCTAGGGGGGGGGGTGGAAGTCAAAACCTGTGATCCTCGATATCTCTCGAACGAATAATGATATTAAGGTCCGGTTTGGACTAAAAATCGTCTAAAATTGCATACTTTAAGATTCTAATGGTCAAAATCCGAAAATCACATTTTCAAAACAACATATGTGATTTTTTTCACTGTTTGAGTCGGGAAAATTTCTTTTAAACGAAAGATACACAAAGATCTCAATTTTTTATTTGAACCAATACCAGTTTTTTAATTTGTTTGTCTTTTTCCGCATCCAACGAGCGGTCATGCAAGCTGGGGAACCGAACGGTTCCGGAGTTATGAGCGATTGAAGTTTCCGCTCAACGCGCGCCGACTGATTTTCGCGCGCCAAAATATGGTTCCAAAGCCAGATTTGGGTGTTAATGAATCGGACTTTATGTCCAAACCGTGCAAAATACAATTTTGAGTATTCTTATTAAGGGTTGTTGCGTTTAAAAATTACAGATACTTCCAAAAATTCACTTTTTTCCCCGTAGCGCTTCTTGAGAGGCCCACTGAGCGGTCGGTCGGTCGGCTCTCGGTGGGTCTCATGATGTACCAGGATGTGTCCCGCATTGGAAATGCTAGTCCAAATCGTTTTGATGAGATATTCGTATCCCAGTTTATGAAACTTCATCACGATTTTTCTCTTTTCATCCCAGTTTTTTAACCCATTTCATCCCGGGTAATCTTAATAAATGCCGTTTTATCCCTGTCAGCCATGGGGCGTAGTCTCCTAGTACTCCTAGTAGAAAGTAAAAAAACGTCTATGTGTTTTACATTAGTAGCAGAATTTTCCCAGAAAAATGTATTTGAAACCCTTCCGCTCTTCATCACTTTTGAGAGGAGTTTTCACTACTGTTGTCTTCGAAAAAATAAAATTACGTAACATTTGACGCTTCTATCTTTTGGCCCTGTTTTGAAGTACAATCGTATTTCCATTCTCTAAACACCCCCCTCCTACCCCCGTTTCGCACTTTTCCTTGCAACTAATACTAATCAGGCTAGTACCAACAACCAGTACCAACAGTACCACAAAACTACCAGATGTTTTAAAAGTTTCAATGTTGCTCCCAACCCATCGTCCAGATGAAATCTTTCGAACATTGAACGAGCACAATGGGAAGATGCGAACAATGGTTCTGCAACGTTACAATGAAAATTGAAAAACAATGAATACTGGGTACTTAAATTTTGTAAAGTGCATACATACGGCACGTGCCTCTTTTCCGCTGAAGATAAGAGGGTTCTATACAGTTCCTTACATTGCCTGGGCTGAACGTGTGCAAGACTCAGTCTCCTAATTTTTAGTTCATTTTCAACGTTTGTTAGGAAATTTAAACTATTTCCAGGTAAGTAATGAAACTTTTGAACTTCTTCCTATTTCTAGGAGTAATTTTTAACATTTTGATGGTTGCGTCATGTGATAAATACATATTCAAAACTTTGCATACGTTGTGTCAAGCACTTGAAAGAGATACATGCTTTTGCCGCGAGTATGTAAAAAGGGGTGGCATGTCGTCAAGTGGAAGTTTTTTTTTGTGATATTTTTTATGGTTTTAACGGATGTATCGCATGTTTTTTTTAAAATTATTACGTCATAAAGAATAGTTAGTCAAACATACTTTTCTCTGTTTACTAATATTTCAATGCTGAGCATGTAAATTAGCAAAGAATACATATTATTATATGTCTGTAATTCCGACTTTTATCATCATATCGTAATGAACATATGTTGATGGTATTGCAGTAGTCGAAAAATCACGGGATGGATTACTTACAGACCCTTTTTTCGCTGCCGCCCCTGCTGTACGCATTCCTTCTGGTTGGATCCCTGTGCTTGGTGTTCAACTACTTGGTCTACTCGCGGCGCGTGGCCCAGTGGCGCAAGTCGAACATCCCTTTCCTGAGCCCGAGTTTCCTCATCGGGCACAAGTACTTCTGGGGCGTCGGGAGCAACTCCGCAACTGTCGTCCCCCTCGATCGCATCTACCAGGAGAATAAAGACAAAGACCTCGTTGCCTTCTTCATCGTCACCATGCCTGTCGTTCTGCTTCGGAAACCGGCACTTATTAAGCAGGTTAGTGTGACATAGAGTCCTGGATAGGGGGAATATGGACGGACATGTATGTAATTTTGAAGGTCACGCTGAGTTCTTAACATGACCTATACGTTCCTTGCGCAAGTACTCCTATCAGACGCATTTAGACAGAAGAAGTTAAGATGTGAGTCGGTAGTTTTAGAATGAGATGCAATAAATCATCCAAAATAAAAAGGACCTTGGTGACAAAGGGTAGAGAAATAAGCTTCAAAGCTCCAAAGAGTAATTACTTTTGGACACAAAAAAAGCATGTACAAGTCGAGTGAAACTGACATTAAGTTGGTGCGAGTTCACTAGAATACTAAGCACCAAACCTTGTCGTAATTTCTCAGCAGAATTTCACGCAAAACACGATGAATGATAGATTCATTTATTTCCAGATATTCGCGAAAAACTTCGACAAAGCATTCAAAACTGGGTTTGCGGCGCCCCACAACAATAAGATTTTAGAGCTCATGTTGGGCCAATCGCCTTTCAAAAGCGTCTGGAAAGCCCAGCGGAGCGCGCTTTCGCCCATGTTTGCGACGGCGAGGTTTGGTGGTGAGGAATTCGCCAAGATCAGGAACCAGATCGCCCACATGTCGACCCACGTTGAGACAGCGCGCCTCCAAGGGAGGCCTATCGACATCAAAAAGGTTTGCATTTTCGCATTCAGATATTTCTTTTACTTCGAAGATAACTAGTTTGTCTCGCAAAAACAGATGTATCAGCTTTGTAGAGCGTAATAATAACAAGGGGGAGGGGGTACGATCCTTCGCCGCCCCTTAACCCAATACCCCCAGGGGGCGCTTTGTACCGTCTGAAGTCCGCTTCGCCGATCACTGTGAGTTTCTCTTAATACAGCAGGCTCATCTAAGGACCATCTCCTATCGATAGTTGCAAAAATCATGAAAATCGGCCCGATAGGTTTTTAGATCGAACTACAATAAAAAATGAACATTATTATTTACATTGTTCAACGAGAAAATTCACGACTTTAATATGTAATGTAAAACAAATTGTATTTTTAAAATATGAATAAAGTGGACATATCAAGGGTCTATCGCCCGTCAATATAGCCACAAAAATCATGAATATCGGCTAGGTAGAACGCTAGAACGAAACGTGACAAAAAATGAAAAATTGGGAGGTCAGAGAGCTTATATAATAAAATAATGGTTTTCCTCGAGAAAAATGTACTAGACCCATGCTCTGGTTTTTCGACAGGTGGCAATGAAATTTGTCTTGGACAGCATTTCCAACAGCTTTCTCGATTCGGACGACAACTCATATGAAAAGGAAGGAGAACTATTTAAATTCGTGAAGAATTTTGTCGAGCCAGGATGGAACAAACTGCTGCGCGCATTTGCCCAGATGCACCTCCAAGGAATACCAGCTTTGGAGTCGTTTCAGTTCATCACTCAAAATCATATTGAAACTTTAAAGAGTTTGCTCCAGAAGCAGATAAAGCAGAGAAGTCAGACTGGCGACAATAAAAATGACCTTATCGACCTACTCATCAGGCTCAAAGAACAAGACCAAGACGAGAAACTGGATTCAGGTATGGGAACGTACAAATTGTCAAAATTGCATAGCTCAAAAATTGAGGATAAATAAAGAGAATCGTCAATAGAAAGAATCATTAAAATCGAGAATCATTTACGTCGTGATTCTCCAAGGAGTGAATCGTGATAAATCGATAGGATAGTGGTTGCGAGAGATTTCGAGAGATTATAATTTCAAAAACTAACCTTTGAAATTTTTAGAGATGGACATCACAAATGAAATGATGGGTCTTGGATTATCCTTTCTGCTGGGTGGTTTATGTGTTGGCATGGCGTCAGTTGACAGTTTGGTGAGTTTTACCATCCACTTGTTATCTCTCCACCCGGAATATCAGAAGCGAATAAGACAAGAGGTGGAGGAGGTCATGGAAAATCACAACGCTACAGAAGTCACTTACGAGGTTGCTCGGGATCTGCACTTCCTCGACCAATGTCTACGCGGTGAGTGCAACAACTTTAAGACGATCTCTTTGCAACAGGCTGACGCATATTTCTTGGCTTTTTCACTGGGGCTCATTTTCAATCCTCCCCCCCCCCCTTTGAATTATCCGAAGAAAATTGTATTATAATTTTACCGCGAAAATAAAAGTGTGTGCTGTAAGAGTAGGAGGGGATGGCATCAGAAATAAAGAAGGCTGTGGAAATGTTCGTCTTTCCTTTTCGATTTTATGAAAAAAATAATGCTAAAACGTTGTATGAATTCATGCTGTTCTGCGCCGTAAAGAAGAAAAATCAATTTCTCAAAATTATGGGGTGGGTTTAAATTGGCACCTTTTTGGGAAAACCTGTGAAAGCGTCTACCCCTTTTTATAATTCCTAAAAGAGAACGATTCCATAATTGTATACTATTTTGTGCCACGTTCCCAAGGGAATTTTCTTGCATATTTTATCAAACTCACGATCAGGATATTCCCTTTCTCTATTTTTACTAATTTCATATTCGTACAATTCTAGAAACGGCACGTTTGTACCCGAATACATCAGCACTAACGAGAGAGTGCACGGAAGACTTTACGCCGGCCGGCACCGACTACCATTTTAAGAAAGGCGAGCTTATTATTGTCGACTCTTACTCCATCCACCGCGATCCGGAATACTTTGAGAATCCGGACAAGTTCGATCCGGACCGCTTCAACCCGGAAAATAGAGATAGTAAATCGGTTGATGCTTTTCTTGGCTTCGGAAAAGGACCCCGAAAATGTCCAGGTAAGATCAAAGAGGGCCATCTGACTAGCAGTATTTGATGCAAAAACGATCATGTTAGTACCATTTTGAGATCACGTTGTAATTAACACGTTCCGTTTTGAACCATGATGGTGTTGGAGCCATTTCGGTATCATTTTGGTGAGTGAAACATGGTATCATGTTGCTGCAACATGGTATCAAAAATTCAACATGCTACCAACTTGTCTCAAAATTTGTTCCATAATGATAACAGATTGGTCATAGAAAATTTGACCAATTTATCACCATATTGGTACCACGAAGGGTACCATTTTTATATAATTTTGATACCACATTGGCGTCACCATGGCAAGGGGCAATTCTTGAAAGTTGGCAATACTGTGTTTTTGCTCAATTAAAGTATTAAAAAAATCGATATTAGGGGGTAGGGGGCAGCTGCCTTGCCAGAAATCAATTGTTTTACGTACATTTAAATGGATGAAAAACAGAATTGCCAATTTCCAAGTATCGTTACCAAACATGGTGTCATTTTCCACTTGCTGAAATGGTCGTTTTTAGCAGGCATATACTTAGAATTTTACCAAAGTACGAATGGAAGTCATTTTCAAGTCTCTCGGTAAAGATAAGTCCAATTCGATCATTTCCACCCAATTAAATCTTAATAAAATTTATTTGTGTGAAAAAAAACACTAAAAAGTGGCCAAGGCACTTTGTGTAATAAAATGGGGAAGTGGTGCTACGTTCACACCACTTCGCGGGGAAATCAAAGCCAAGAAATTACAAAAATTATAATTACAGTCAAAAATATTTTTTGTTTACTCCCATGAGTACCAGTACAAAACTGAGGAGGGAAGAGAGTGTTCAGCTCAGGCAGTTTGCATTGGAATATTTAGTTGGAGTCAAGGCGAGAGATCTATACAGGGTTGGGTCTTTCTCAAATGGATTTGTTATATAATTCTTGTTCAATATCAAACAGGTAGCAATGTTGGTCTCCTGCTAGCGTCGACTCTGATTGGTTCTCTGGTGCACAAGTACGAGGTGAGACCACGCTCTCACACGAAGCAAATGGATGCTTACGATCTCCATCCCCAGAGTTTCGGCATCGTCCATAAAGATGACGTCCTCGTTGACGTCGTGCCCCGAGAGGTTCTCGCTTATTGATTACTGATCAATCACGAATAATAACAACCTATTGCCGATGTATTTTAGGACGCCTTGAAACAATGGTGATTCTCGCAGGTTAGCAACAATGCACTTCTTCCATTTAAATCCACTATAAAAAATCGATGGAATAGGTGATCTGCCAAGCCAACCATCGATTGTTTCAGGTGTATAATTGAACGTATTTCTATCAAACGGAACCATGTGCTTTGAGCCATGAGCCGTAAGACCCGTAAGAATATATGCTGAACAGGGCTCACGTCATAATGCACATAGTTCCGTTTGATAGAAATACGTCCAATTATGGGAGGAAGTCAGTGCTGTAAACTTGCGAGATTGCCACTGCAAACATGTGTAAAAAATTCTAAACTAATAATGTACAGGAAATATAATGTCACAAATAATAAACTATTCTTTTAATTAATCTTTTCTTTTCCTTCTTGCGGACTTGGTTTTGGACCCTCCGCATAGAACTCTTCTGAAAACCTTTTTTTCCGAGAGGTTTTTAATTGCGAGCGAAATAAATTTAAATTATTTGACATATGACATTCTAAATTTTTTATGCACCTAGTGGCACGGATCTTATCAGCGGAAGAGACAGAGGGGACTGAATACCATATTGAAAATTAACTACTGCTGTGTTATTACATTTACTCCGGATCAGAGTAAAATTTGTTAAAAATATTAAAAATGTTCAAAAGCCACATTGATGTGAAAGGAATCTAACTTTGTTAAACAATTATGTAACTGGTTTTACTCAGTTATTAACTAATTTTTCACGCTGAAAATACTATCCTGCATTTATGTGCATTCCGAACTGTACATACCACAGTCACATTAAACGCATCATCCTCACGTTGCCGAGCAATGAAATATGCTTTATGAGTATTAGAATGTTTCCAAAATTCCTCTCAGAATATGTTCAATTTAGAGGGTAGCCATTTTTATTTTTTCTTGAAGTTTTCGAACACTTCAGATTAAATTACGAACAAAATTCTCTGAAAAATCGAGGGAAAAATATCCACAAATATTCCCGAAAACTCGTGATTACTCGTCCAAGGAAATTTAACAATGTCTGAAAGCTTATACGGCGTTTCCCCATTAGCACGGGAGAATGGAACTTAGTCGACTTAGCCTCCATTTTATAGAGTACAAAAATGCAATGGAACTACAAAAGCGAATGCACATTTGTTTCACGCTTTGTGACCACTTCACAACGCGGTCGGACTTTCGTCGATTTTGACAGAGAGTTGAAACATGACAAGTTCTAATTCGTCACAAGTGTGACCGATAATCAACAGGGTGGAAGTTGCTCATATAAGGGAGAAATTTTCGAACTTTTTTTTCTGAGCGTGACTGACGGTGTGGATAGGATGGAAACGAGGTGGGGAGGGGGAACGAAAAAAAAAATTAAACAAGCGAATAAAGTTCGGTTAAAAAGTTTTTCCGTTTGCACCGCGTGAGAGCAAGCCGGCCCAGAGCCATGCTGGCTCATCGCACGCACAAAGGGCTCAGAGTGATAATTTTTAGCTATTATAAGGGTCGGTTCATGAGCGGTAATGAAAAATTAATTAATGAATACCGAAGGAATCCTTTCAATTCAAGGTTCCAAGACTTCAAAAGTTTTTTAAATTATTTTGCATGGAACGGTTTGCCGATCGCCTCGGCATTGCCGATCTTAAGCCAATAATATCCTATGAAAAGAAAAAGAAAATTCAATCACAAAATTATTACTCTCGACAAATATTTGGCCCGCGTTCATCAGAAAAAGGAACCAAGTCACATCAGCTAGCGCCAAATGAAAGTGGGCAATTTAATGTTTTACATGAGAAGTTTTGGTGCGGATTCCATCGAAAATTTTCAGGAATTTGCTTCGTGCTATGTAGACAATTCGCTGAAATTTGCACAAAAATTTTCACAACCGTTTTCATGTAAAATATTAAATTGCCCAAATAAATTTGGCAATATCTGATCTGGCTTGGTTTCTTTCTACTAGCGCGGCCCATTTAGCGTTACTCAACATTTTGATCTAAAGCTACCGCATGCTATTTCAATGCGTGCAATTATTACATTCTCCTTTTTGTATTATATCCTGTGTTTGTTTTTTCCCTTATTTTTTTGTTTTGTTTTTTATATCCCTCTTAGTGCTCTGAGCCCTGCTTCGTAATTGTCAAAGGAAATTTGACAACGTCAGAAAGCTCGTTCGGCTTTCTTCCTTAGCGCGGAGGAATGGGACTTAGTCGCCCCATTTTATAGAGTGCAAAAGTAAAATAAAATTACAAAATCAAAAGGGTGCTTTGTCCCGTCTGTTAAGTTCAAATCCAAATAATAATTTTGAAAACTGAGCAAATCGGGACTAATCAAAGAATAAATTCTCTGAGTTTTTGATGGATATTTGTAAACCGCATTTTGTGCTGTTCTTGACTTAAACTGACGAATGAATGCTTCCGTAAATTCTCAACGATTTGTTTTTCACAGTAAACATCTTATATCTTTTGAACATGGCGCATATCAAAGCCAAATACTTATTCGAATAATACTTATGAGCAAAGCTAAAAAATTATATTTTAGATAAGATACCAATCAAGCTTAGGGAAAATTAGCTTGCACATCTAAAGACTATTTTTCCCGGTAAAGTTCTGAATAATACAACTGTTTAGACTCTATGCAATAAAATACGGGGGCAATGATTTCGCCTTCTTTTGAGCAGGTGCTTGCCCACATTTTCCAAACCTAATACTTTCAAAAACTTAGGATAACACAGTTGTTCTAAACTGACTATACCTAACAAGTTCACCTGCTTAAATTTTGCATGTCATTGTTCCAATTCTCATATCCCATTGGAATTGGAGGATTCACCGCGTGAAAGGTGAAGAGCATAATGAATTGGTTAGAGTATTGATTATTTTGTCTTTAGTTGGAATAAATCATTTTGTCTCCGTAGAAACTTGGCAGCAATAAGCACACATAGGAGAGCGTGCAGTGAAATCCGTGACCATAGTTGGGTTCAAATCGGACAAGCAACTAAACTAACTCCTTGACAAAGCGTAAAGTATCACAAAAGTTGAAGGCGCTCCAAGCCGAGATCATAATTTTAAAAGCTACGGCCCGTTAAACCTTCATTGTGCCAATGCTCATTTTGCGCTTTATCTAGACACCACTTGAACTGCTTGCAAAATCTAATATCTGCTTGCCGGCAAAATCTAATATCCTGAGACATGTCGATGACCCTAAACGAATAGTGGACCAATCATCGCGGTGAGAAGTCGCTACACTGTGATTAGCTAAAGCTTTCTCTGATACCTCCCCTTACCTTGACGGTTCGATATTTTTGATGAGACGCACCCTTTTTTCATGAGTCATTCTACATAATATTCGCCCAAGTTCAGAAAAAAAGATGGCTTTTTCAAGACTTTGAGCAGACTAATTCCAACCAAGGGAATTTGCGGGAGGAATTTATAAAAGAAGAAATCTTATTTTAACCAAAAGAGATTGCGGTGTAGCGACTTTTCACCGCGCTGACATCTCTCCGCTGCGAAATTCCTCCGCTATGAAATTTCACCACCACATTCATTCAAGCATTGGCATCGGTATCCAAACTCTGGATCCTTTTAGACTAATTTTAAAGTCACCACACACCCGTGGACGATTACGGATGAATAAATGCGGTCTTCAAAATCGGTAAAAGATGCATTTTTCAGGCCTTTTCATTGACCAGCGATTGGAGGAAAGTTCACCGGTTACCCGTTTTGATGACCTCAATTTGATCGTGTAAAGAGAGATGTGGCTGTGCTGTTAAATTACAAAGAGGCCAACTTGTCATTGCCAACTTCTTTAAGCTTTCTGATTGGCCCGCTGTTCGTTGCGGGTCATTGATACGTCGTAGGAAATTAGAAATTGCTGGCAGCAATTTCCAAGCAGTTCAAGTAATGTCTAGATAAAGCGCAAAATGATCATTGGCGTAATAAAGGTTTTGACGGGCCGTGGCTCTAAAAATCATGATCTCGGCTTAGAGCGCCTTCAACTTTTGTGATACTCTACGCTTTGTCAAGGAGTTAGTTTAGTTGCCTGTCCGATTTGAACTCAGAGACAAGAGACCCTTTACTGGCCTCTTAGCGACAGGTGGAAGCTTTTACTTTCGGGGATTCAACGCTTCCTTATGGACAATTATAAGGGAGCAACAGTCATCACTCTTTTTTCGGCTGTTGACCTACCAACATGGTGAATGATGAGCTTCGGTTGACGTCAGGAGTCAAACTTCGACTTGTTTTGGCTTATTGTTTGCAAAACGAAACTGCTAACACGTTGTTAAACATCAAACATGTACGTAAGTCAACAGTTAATCGATGAAGTCCCGAAAGTAAACGCTTCCGCAATAGCCGAGATACGAGTGGAGGGTCTCTTGTCTTCGTTAGAACCCAACTATGGTCACGGATTTCACTACACGCTCTCCTGAGTGTTACGGGTTACTTTACTTGACCACTAGCCTTCGACTTGTCCCCAAATCCGCCTGCTAGCATCCACAGAGCGAGCGGCGGATGTGTGGAATCAGCGATCACACTTTTAATTTGGTTTAAGTGCAGCAAGACGCGCAGTGCACACACGGTCGGCAACAAAATTTATCGTCAGCCGGCGCTGCGGCGACGGCACCGGCCGTCCGAGGAGAATCCAGGATCAGCGGCAGCGCC